GGGAAAGAGCGAGAGAAAGCAAGAAAGGAGCCCGTGCGGAGAGAAGGAAGAAGGCGGTCGGAGGAATTACCGGTTCGTTGGCTAACTGGCTTCATAGAAGAAAAACCTCTTTATATCTCGCGCGCACGCACGTAAGCTGGTAGCGTGGCTGAAAAACGCGCCTTTAAGCCTCGAGTTTCATCGAATACACCCCGTGTACGAGTGGTACGCGGAACAAAGCCACCGGAAATCGCCCGAGTGGTACTCCGGCCTGCCTGGCGCCATCTTGTACACGGCTACCAGCCACGATGGGGAACGCACGCTCTTTGCTCCCTCATTGTTCTTGTCGTCAGGTAGTTGCGCCACATTCGGATGGAACATCCCCACCTTTTTTCTTCTTTTTTATTCCGTTGTACCGTGTTATCTTGCGAGATGTCTTGAGGCAAGTGATAGAAGAGCGCCAAAATTGTGGTGACTTTGATGTCGAGGCTCTTGTTTGAAGTTTAGAAATGATGTTGCATGGAAACGTGACTGAGTTCTTGTTCACCGGAGATTTTGATGGGGCTCATTGTTGAATGTGTTGTTCTTAATTAGAAGAAGTCCAACTTCGTACTATTTTTATAGGTCTCTAGACGCTATAGATTCAATCCTTGACTACTTGAGGATGAACCTCAAGTTTTTCGTCTGAAAAGAAAATGATTACATTTTAATGACGTATATACTTAGTTTCACACTGGTAATAGGTTAGACTTCGTTTTCTACTTAGTGACTTCCTCTCATCCTGTTCATCGCGAATGGCCCACATTCGAAATTTATCCTGATTCGAAAGTCGCTAATATACCAGCCTTGACCGTCCGGTTTTCCCTTTTTCTTTTTAAATATCGAAATCGCTATCCGTTCTTCTTACGCAAACATTATTCCTCTCAAGCAGTCCCTCCAGTCTTATATGCTTAGGTGGGTGTAAGTAAACATTGTATAGCACGTGTAAGTAAAAGGTAAGCTAAATAAGCGTCTTCTCCTTCCTCTTCGACTGTCCTCTCTCTCTTTCTCTATCTTTTCTTTTTCTTCTTTTTTTTTTTTTTTTCGTGCCCGGATACATGCCAGCAGGAGCGTGTACGAAGTGTCTCTTACCAGCACTGGTGCCTTTTCATTCGAGTTAGTCGGTTGGTCTCGGCTCTCGAGGAAAGCAGAGGCTAAAGGGTTTCGATTTCCGTGCTGCGGCCGCACAAGTCTTTTTCACTCTCAGTCGCGGTAGAGAAAATTTATACGCGCCTCGAATTCAGCGGCTCGCCTTTAATTTCTAATCCTTCGGACGGAAACACCGCGTAACCGGTCGCCTCCTCTGATTCCTGTTCCGTGAAATCGTCTCTCCAGCTCACAGTCTGCGTCACCAGCAATCAAGATGCCGTCAAAGTCTTTCACCGTATGCAAATTCATGACATTCGGAGTATCTGTGCTTCATGTGCTCCGTCTTTTCCAAGCAGATAAAGCACACGGTATCGAGCTTTATAAAGCACCTTTAAACGTTATCGTTCAACCTTATCTATCACTCTCAACGTTGAATCCAGTCCGAAAGTTTAGCTTTGAACCTTTTCGTTGCACAAGGGATGAAAATTTCAGGATTCTATCCTAAATCTTCTTATTGCAAGTAGGATTGCGGTTCCATCGTTCTATCGTTTTACTTCGATTCCATGTGCAAGTATTCGATATTCCTGACCATAGGCTTCCCGTTTTAAGTTCTCCTTTCACGTCTATTAGAATCGACAGCAATAAATTCAGTTTTAGCGAGGAACTTTGGCAAAATCTTCGACGCTGTTGATGACGAGCGAAAAACGACAATGCGAAAGGAAAAATGGGGCTAGATAGAGCAAGGGGGCTTCGGGGAACGACGGGGTCGGTCGGGAAAGTGTAATTTCAGTTTGAAACAGGAACGGGAGAGGCCGACCCACATCGAGGCTTCGAGTGTTTGTATTGCTGACGCGGCGATCCAATCCAATCCAATACCCATGGCGGATAGGCAACACACTGTGCATATACTACCTACGTATGAACGTATCTCCCTCTCTTTTCCCTCTCCCTCCTCTTGCCCCATCGTTTTCCCGTCTGCTTTTCAATACAATTTCGCGGGGTTCGCGACGAGCAGGCGGAGCTTTCATTTTGTAATTAATTGTCCGCCATTTTAACATTGGAAAATCATTTTTTTCTATACGACCGCGACTTTCCAATTAAATTACCAGCCATACATGAATTCTCCTTTTGTTCCTGGCATGGAGAACAATGTCGGTGATGGAACAGTGTAGGATTTGAGATTACACTGTTTCGTGATTTTAAGATAGGATGCATTTACTGATATCTTTTACTTAATATTTACCTGAAACATAATAATGTATAAATTAACACAGATTAAAATAATCTCTTTCATTGCAGCAATGATTAATGCGTGTAATTTATATAATTACCAACGTTGAATTATGGAATAATTCAATTATATCAATATCACGTAACTAAGCTTCAGTGTCCATCCGAGGTGTAAGCCCGATACTACTGCAACAATCCTACGGTGTGCATTTGAAGAAAAGGATTTTCGCGTATTAGTTAAAGCAGCAATATTGTTCCTATGGAAACGAAGAAATTAAAATGCGTGGCGAAATACAGTGCAGAGCCGTCTAATTAAATACCTGAGCGTGGTAACGATTGCAACCCTCGGGATGGGGTTGAAGCGGTCAGTCAGGGCTGCATGCGTGCCAGTCGGCTGCTATTATCATAAACGCAACAATAACGAGGGATGATCCGACGTGTAAACTGTTAAACCCTCCTCCCCCTTGGTCCTTTTTTCGGCGAGGGTGAGGATTACCGTGGGGGCCCATCGAACCACGTTCCCGGGGCTGGAATCCACGGGGGATGTTATTGTTGCCGTAGAGAGTGAGAGAAAGCGGTCGTCGAGCTGCTGGAAATAGAGACAGTGTAGGGACTCTGTAGCTGCTGGAAATCCACAGGACTACCCCGTTCAACCCTCGATAATATTGACGGTGTTTGCCGCCTCCTATTACAAGCTCGATTGAACCAAACTATACGATTATCATGCGTCAGTGATAGTCTCTCTAGGTTGAATCAGATTCTCAGAGAAAGGGGATCTCTGTTGCGGGACTTGGGCATTTGAATGATAATTCCTTAGAACGATGAGAGAGGTGGATCCTTGATAAGGGATATTTACGTAGAGACTAAAGTCATTTGTTGGTACGAAAAAATAGCGACCAGTGGACGATCGCTGAGATGAGAGTGGACTGTTAATAGATAGAGGACCAAGTGCCTTTTTGCATACCGTAACAAAAATTCCATCATTCCGTTATTACACGACACGCGTACTCGAGATAAAGATCAAAAAATAACAAGATCGATCGAGAAGTCGTCTCGCAGGAAGAAGTGCTCACCAGTTGAACGATTTAATCATAGTTTCGAAACAGTCTTTAACCAGACCAAGTGGATCGATGGTCCCTTGGTTAAATGCATTCATAGCAGACAACGAGTGACGCTCGCACGTGGAATACATGAATATGAAATCCTCGAACTTCATTACCGGAACGTTCCGCGAGCCTACCAAGTCGCGGAACGCTCAGATGGTACTTGCACGATGCAACCATCGACCATGGGGTACACAGTCACCGTGTTTCATCGGCGGCAGCGTAGCTCCTCCGCGGGTAGCTTATAATCAATTCAATTAAAATTGATTTCCACTCGTCACGATACATCAAACAAAACGGGCCGTTGGTCCCATCCCCCTTGACTACCGTAAAAAGCATGATCTCGCGATTCGAAACCGAGTTATAAATATTCAACGGGAGTCAAAGACGGGGGCCGGGCGAGTAGTTAGAAAAGAGGGGGGCGCTCGTAACCGTTTTGTTCTTTTGTCAGCGTCGTCATTATATCGTGTGCCTTCAATTTTTTCCGTCTCTCCAGCAGTCGTGTTTGCGTGGGCGTGCAACAGCGCGAGGATTCGACGGCTTCCTGCCGCGAACTGGGGGGTTGAAACGACGATTCGTGTATAACCGGGGTCTATCCTTCGTTCTCTCTCTTTTCTTTTCTCTTCTCCACTCTCTTGTACCACTCTCTGGTACGTGATGCAGCGTGCGTGCCTGATTTTCCTGTACGCTGATGCACTCGCCAGGGTGAGACACGCGTCTACACCGAGCGTATTGCCCTTTCGAAAATCCGTTATTAGCATCGAGCCTCCATTATGACGTTTCGCGATGCTGACAAATACTTAGCCCCGCCGTTCTGTCCTGTCTTCCGTGCTCGCCGTAGCTGTGCACGCGCGTTTACATATTATTCGAGGGAACACGGGACACGCGCCGCCACGCTCCGGGCCCTTTCACCTACGCGAATATTATGCTCATGTTGGGAACGTAGTTTCTTTCTTTGTCTTCTGTGTTGGCGATAAACAAAGATGCTCGATACGGACTTGTTTGTATGGTGACGCTTTACCGATGTCTGGCAGGTTCACTGACTAAGGCGAACAATAATTTTGTCGTCGCTGCTCTTGAAATAAGAATTTTGCACGTTCTTAATGCAACCTGAAACTTGTCAATTTCTAATGTAAGCGGTTGTTTGTTACACCTTAAAATTAAGTAGAAATTATTTGACTGTTTTCAGGTTACCAGAGTACAGACTATGACAGAAGACACAACAGCGCAGGATCTAGCCAACTGGGAATAATGCCGATTCCACGGGCGAGAATGTATCCAGCGCCTTATAATTATCAGTCTTATCCGAATTACCAACATCGCGATAACTACAATCTTCATCTGCATGGACGAAACAATTATCAGAATCCACAGTACAATAATTACGGATCACAATCGCATCAGCATCGGGTAAGAATTTGATACTACAAATTTAATAATATCTGGAACCAACAAATACTTTGTTATTCATTGAAATTCATTTAAATTGAATTAACCAATTCTTAAGAAATTTACCACGTGTTTTACCTATTTGGGTAGAACATTTCGTACCTAAACTTTCCATTCAAGCTATTATAGCGATTTCCTGCCTCTGGCATAGACTGCAGAATTAGAATGATAATTTATTGTAATACAAATTTTTGCTTTGCTTTGTAGGATATTTTAAACGTGTACCTTTATCACAATTGAAGAGAATGGTGCAGAAGCATGTCCGATGATTAATCATGTTTTTAATGATGTTCTAGAATTATTCCTCTTACTACCAAGGGAATAACGGCGAAGGCGGAGGAAACAGAGATCAAAGATGGTAGACATTTCTCTGTTCACTTACATTCAAGCAATGCCATCACGGATCTACAATTTAGATTTATAAGAAATTCACGTTTCATTTATAATCACATAGGATCGTGGAGATATGTTTAAGGTCATGTATTTGTCAGATTGCGATTAACAAACGGCGATATTACTCTTTCTTATTATTCATTGTATACCTACATTACCGAAATATGAAAGGTATAAATCATTTTTTGTTAAGAAGTTCACGGACTTTTTGTGCAACGAGAGTATTATCGCCTGTATAGCATTTAGACGATTAACATAATCCTGTTTACTGGCGAGGTATATAGTAGTTGCATAATATGATCTGTGATGGTAACTATTATTCACAATTTAGCGATGTAAGAACGTATCAAGTGTAATTTTATGCAACTCCAAACTAAACACACACATGCACACAAAGCCACAGACATACACGCACACATTAACACACAAACATACGCATACAAAAAAGAACTGTATGATATTAAGTATTGTTAAAGATTGCGCCTCGATTATGAAGATTCAAGTGTAATCGGAATGACGTTTTTTTAAGCGAGCACAATCTGTTAACAGAAATATCATTGTACAATCAAAATTCGATCATATTACGTGTATTTTTGAATCATACGGTTATTGTTGATTAGAGCAATCTAATTTTCTTTGTTACGATGATCATCATCATGGCACATTGACAAATACATTAATTGTAAAATGAATTTTAAACGCGGATTTCGACGATACATCTTCATACGTCGTTGATGTAGAAACTAAACCGTATATTCTGAATTACGATGTGACAAATGATTGTAATACAAAATATACTTGCGAACAATGGCGATCGTTCATTCCCTTTAGATCTCGCCATTTTTTATGAAAATAAGTAAGACGATGGAAGAGATAGAAACGTTAATAAAATTGGAAAGTATTTGTTCGTTAGGCGGTATAGTGACGAAGGATTCTGTTTGTGAAAAATTTTAATCTTGATAGGCATCGTTTGCGACAGATTCAATTATATCATGTACCTATCGTTCATACATACCATTGATAACTGATCGAAGTGGACACGTACATCCTTATCATTATAACTCGTCACACGTGGAGATTTCTTGTACGAACACTGCACTTGAAAAAAAAAATATATAATTTAAATGATTCGATATTTCCCTTGTTGATTTTTCTCGAAATTTCACATCTTCATGAAGTTCCTCAACCAATCCTCTCTGAAACAAAAGAGTCCAATTTCAGCAGTGTCAATCAGTAAAGTGTCATATTCGATACGAGGAATGAAAAAAAAATTTTGGGAGCCTGGAAGCCGTAATCGTGACGAATGGCATGGTGTGGTATCACGGTTAAAACCAGGCGGTCCGGGTACATCTGGTACCGGTCTACCAGAGCGGGCGAGCATTGAACCAGCGAGTACCACTCGAGAAAACAATAGCGAGCAACGCTCTTGTTCTCTCTCTCTCTCTCTCTCTCTCTCTCTCTTTCTGGTCCTCTATCGTCACCCTGAAATCTGGAACCCATGTTATAGAATCGTTTCATCGGAGCAGAGATGCTCGATTTATTTAGTCAGTCAAACTTTACCAATCGATGTGATCTTAGCTTACATGCCGATATTAAAGATAATGCACATATGTACTCCTTCACCACTGCGGGATAAAAATTTCTATTGCATTTTCTTGTCGATAAATATTTTCTTTCAAATCACTGTAATATACGTACCTGATATATAACGCGTAGTACCCCGTAATAATTCTAGGAAACAATTTTTATGATGTTCGCAAATTGGAGGACTTGTGATAAACATCATAATAGACGGAGTATTGTGTTCTGCACAGCCCATTTAATTTGCATTGCCCGCATAAAATTCTCCGATAGTTCAGCGGTCTAAGCTGATACTTCCGATAGCCCGCATGGGTAAGTGTAAACAACCCTTTTGGTCCCAGCTTCTCATATTGTTTCCTTGCTCTTCTAACGCATCCGTTCATCCATTTGACGTGATCATGAATTTGTAAGTAGGTTTCGCTGCTGATAACTGTATCCTCCTTAACTTACCTTTTACAGTAGCACCTAAATTTAATTCCAATTCTGCAAGTGTGGACGTTTTCCTTTCTTCTGTCATATATTTTCAGTGCAAACTATTCTTCTAATAAGATTCCCGGTCCCTTTTAACCTATAAAGGTTCTATCTACCGACGTTCGATGGAACATCGTGTTCCTCTTTGAGGAATTTCGCGGAGGATGCATCTCGAGCGTGGTTATTGCGTCTGCACGCGATTATGGATGATCGAACCGCGTCGTGCGTGCCGCGCATACTCCTCCACTTCGAAGTGCTCCTTTCTGTGAAGCATGCGGCGTTATCTCGGCTTCCTTGTTGTCCCTTTGATGAAATAAAGCACTATCCGCGGCGAGATCTACCCCACGTTAGTAGTTGCGGTTCCCGGCCTCACTCTTTCTCTCTCTGTATATGTACACATCGCATACTTTCTCCTTCTCTCTCTCACTTTATTCTCGAGTTCTCTCGACGGTGCAGGACACAATGCGGCCCTTACATCTTCATCGAGTACGAGTCGTCGCTTGCGTGTAATGCGTTCACTCTGTGCTTTCCATACGGGTATACGAGCCCCGACCATTTTCTACTACCTCGACTCAGATTCGCTCGGACAGCACTCGTGTCGCTTTTCTTTCGGTGTCTTGCATCCCAAAGAAAAGCGGGAATTAATTTAAACAGGCCCTCTGCGTTTCAAAATGCTTCATCAGTTCTTCGTTTCGCGATGCATGTGAATTTTGAAAATGTTACTTAAATGGCACTGCAATAAAATAATACAAGAAGTTGGTATACTGCAGATTTTGAATATTTGCGAGTAATTCGAAATTCGATACCTCTCTCTGCGACAGAGAATTCGGCTTAATTCTTCAAAATGTGTCGCTCCTTCCAAACCATTCTTCATTCCGCTTCTCTCTCTTTTTTTCTTTTTTATATAACACCGGCGAAGTACGATTTTTTCACAAAATACCAAGCGTCGCTCTCTCCGCTAAAACCGATGTAAAACGCGTTTGTGTCGGCGGACGCAGATTCCAATGCACTCGTGCGATCTATGCGGCTGAGAAAAAGAGAAAACGTAAAAACAACGACAAAAAAGGAAAGAGTAAAAGAGACAGAGAAAAAGGAGCCGGGCGAAAGAGAGAAAGAAAGAAGCGAAAACAGAGAAAGAAGAAACTTTGGTGCACGTAACTGGAGGCAGTCCGTTGGGTGGTTGAATCGTGGAGTGGAAGGCAGTGAGAGCCCTTGTACGCCCATGGAGAAGAAGGTCCAGGTGCGCCCTCACCTCACACGACTCTGCTCCACGGCACATCCGAGTTCTCTTCTCCCTTCGTTCTCTCTCCCTTCTTCGGTCTTTTTCTTTTTTTTTTCTTCTCTGTGCTTCTTCTCTCTATTCTTCCTCTTTTCTTTCCCCCGGTAGCCGGCGTTCTCTTACGCACTCCCGCCATGGTGTATGCCACGCATTGCTCTCTGGCAACGTAAAAACGCAGCAACCCGTGTTAATGTACGTGACATACGTTGGATGCTCTGTCAGTGTATACGTGCAAACGCGCGCGCATTTGTGTATATTCGTACATGGGTGCAGGCACCTAAAGGTAAAGAATAGGGACTGAAGTACCGGCGTGCAAAATGGATGGCGGATGTAAATGCCAAGTAGCCAAGTGTACGCCACTCTCTCTCTTTCCCGTTTCGTTTTTCTCTCTCATCTCGCTCGGTCTCGCGTGATTTGCCTTATCCTGTCCTTTTCTCGCCCGTACGTATCGTGTGCTTATATATATATGTACATACCTATATATATATTGCTCTCCTTCTCATTCCGTACCGACTATGCCGCCTGCATTTGATAAGTACGCATTGGCCGAGTGTCTACGGTCGCTTGTGCCGCGCGAAACCACGCGGAAAGATCAAGCAGCTGCGGATAAATTTTTGTGCACGCTGTGGAAGCCCTCTGTCCGAAGAAACGGAAGTTAACCAAGGTCTAAGAGAATTAAAGATCGCGCATTAGCACGCTATTCTTTATTCCACGGGGCACGTGCTACACGCGAATATATGTCGAAGTGCCATCTCTGATTGTACATAGGAAACTATAAGTCTTTTCAGGAATCTTGGGAAAGTATATGGCACCATGGACGAAGTATCATTGTGTAACGTTGTTCGATCGATAATGTGATATTTATCTCTAATTAAAGCCACTATCGGTGCGATGCAGATTATCTCGAAAATCATCGACGACAAGAATTGTGCGAGGTAACGCGATCGTGCTTGGAAGAAACCGTGGGTGGTCGGTTTTCGTGGCGGGTCGCGGGAAGGTGAGCTCTTTGCTTGACGTACACCTCGTTACCGCGTCGGTGGAGACGGGCTCAGACACCGGGATGACGCAGCACCGGCTCCTGGTTACCTCTAGCCCATTGTTCTCCCCGCATTTCTTCTCAGCTCGTGCTCAAGTGCTCGATCGCTACCCTCCCTCGAAGCCCGGATCCCTCGGCGTGCTTTTAGCCCTGTGCCCGCGTACGTCCTTCGTGTCTAAACGGGATTGTAATTTTACTTGGTACGCGTCAATAAAAACATCGTATCGTTGTTTTACCGAATACCAAATTCAGATATTTAGCATAACCTTTCACTTTTACTCTAATTCTGTATAAAATCAACATAACGCTATTTAAAAAAATTCTACGTCATTTTGATTGGGGAAAAATTGAATTTAATAATAATTCGTGTATCTTATGTCACAGACAAAGAATTTATTAGATAGATAATTACAATACTTTTTCCTTTCATGAACATTCAAGAAATATTTTAGCATAAGATTCATGGATTCGGTAGTCGAGTGAGCAGTCGGATAACAAAAAGGAGAAAGGTGACGAGATGCGACCCCCCGCGAGGTTTCCCGCGCGGGGCACCCGCCTGTCGATAATGTCCCGTACCAGTTACCGACAAGGGCTTCACCTGCATAGCGCTTCAATTCCGTGGTTGACCCCCCATGCGAAATGGGCCCCCTACTCGCGTCACGTCGACTCCTTGACTTCGGTTGTCCAGTCTCGCGGAAATAACGATACGTTCGTACGGAAAAAGGAGAGACAAATGCCACCGGTATGTCGTCACCCTGTCATGGGGTGCAAATGTCGAGTAGAACCGAGTATGTTCGCCCCTGGTGGCCTCGCCGTGTGTGGGAACCTTCGATCTCGCGATTTTCCTTCGTCGTTCGAACATAACCTCTTGAGAGTTCACCGAATAGCCGATAGGCATATGCGTTTCTGTCGGGTACCGAAAGTGCGCGGGCTTAATTTTTACAAAAGCGCTGCCCGTGCACCCCGTGTGCTACCTTCTGCTCGATAAACAATATACCATCGTGTACGCGCCAACGGGCCGACGAGTGGCTTCCCGGTACAATGCCATCTTATGACATTTTCGAGTTCGACCGTTGTTGTCGAGTGCTTAAGTGCTCGTTATACACGCCGCGTCAAGCTTTTGTGTCGCAGCAACTGTTTTTTCGGGCGTCGGTTAAGTGTGTCCGGGGATCCGAGTCCGCGAGCCTTGTTCTCTGCACGCGAGAATCGAGAATTAATAACGGACCGAATAGACCCTGCGGCTTATCTGCGCTACGATTCTTATTGGCGAATATCGTACCGTCACGACGAGGCTAATGTTTGCGCAATCAATAGTACAAATGCAGTCAACGTTAAGCCAACTCTTCAAACAGTGACATACACGGTGAAAGGAAATTGATTGGACGAAAATTTCAAGCTTCCATCTAACGTCGTTTTCGATATTTCTCGAAAGTTTCGTGTTGGTAAGTAATCTTATTACCATGGTGTAACGAGCAATCTAAATGACTAACGAAATACGACCAGTCTCACTAGTAACTTTTTCCCGATGGATAAGTTTAAGGGACCGAGATAGAAAAGAGCGCGAAGAAGAAAGTCTCGGTCAGTAGGTAGAAAGTTGGCTGTCACGGAGAAACATTTTCCATCGTCTTCGAGCGATTTACTTCTGGAGGTCAAGCTCGCCCACGCAACCGGCTTCCCTTCAGGGGCGTATCCACGGGGCGTGTTCACAGAGCGGTAGGGTCGA